GGCTCTGGCCAAGGCCATCTACACGAAACAAGGACCTTAGTTGCTGGGTGAGGCCAAATTACACAACATAAGGGCCTGTGGCTCTGGCTGAGGCCACCTACACCTCACCAGGGCCTCTGCTTCTGGCCGAGGTCATCTATACAACCCCAGGGCCTGAGTTGCCGGCTAAGGTCACCTATACCACACCAGGGCCTGTGCTGCTGGCTTTGTTGAACTACACCACACCAGGCCCTGTGCTGGTGCATGAGGCCATCTATACAACACCAGACCCTGTTCTGTTGGTTGAGGCCACCTACACCACACCAGGGCCTGTGCTTCTGGCCGAGGTCATCTATACCACACCAGGGCCTGTGGCTCTGGATGAGGCCAACTACACCACATCAGGCCCTGTGCTGGTGCATGAGGCCATCTTCACCACACCAGGGCCTGTGGTTCTGGCTGAGGCCATCTACACCACACCACGGCCTTAGTTGTTGGGTGAGGAAAATTACACAACATCAGGGCCTGTGCCTCTTGCTTAGGCCACCTACACCACACCAGGCCCTGTGCTGGTTTTCCTGAGCCCATCTTCAAAAATCCAGAGCCTGTGCTGCTGGTTTAATGCTTATCTGAGTCTTTGGGTTAGGGTATTAGGCAAGTATGCAGGTACCGTTAACTCTGTAGTTCAATTGTAGGGTTGTGTTCGAAACTTCAGGTATTAGATTATTCTGTTATTATAGGTTACCTTATATATGTAATCAAAGTAGTTGAATTAGAATACTGCTGTAGATCATATTATACCCTTTAATATAGAGCGTGTGATCTGTATGTAGTTTAGTTCTCATTATACTTTTGAGTTAACAGAACATATTCACATATTAGTTCATTAGATAAATGTGCATCACTCTGTATCCTTGATCTGCTGGGAATGTGTTACACTGTTTTCTTGACATGCTCTATTGTTGAATCATAAAAAGAAGGTTGTAAGCAGGAGACTTGGTGTCTAAGACAGGGGAGATAGACCACATTCCATACCCCCACCTTACAGAAAGCAGAGAAACAACTGCCGAGGTCATAACTTAGTAAGGGAGAAAAGAATGTGAATGTTTAGGCTTTTACAACTAGGTGGGGGCCGCTAGGAGCTATAAGAGGCTGTGTAACTCGTCACCATTTTGAGACTGCTGTGACCCTCTTCAGGCATGTCTCCCCATCATGATGGTTCTAAATGCTCTTTGTGTTGAATTGTATGGAAATAAATGATTGTTGATTGAGCATTTATACACCGAGTATTGTCCTTCCTTCAGCCCAAAGATCAAAAGAATTGGGAGATTTCAACACCATCTTCACCACACCAGAGCCTGTGGCTCTGGCCGAGCCCAACTTCACCACACCAGGCCCTGTGCTGGTGTCTGAGCCCATCTTCAAAAATCCAGAGCCTGTGCTGCTGGTTTAATGCTTATCTGAGTCTTTGGGAAAGGGTATTAGGCAAGTATGCAGGTACCGTTAACTCTGTAGTTCAATTGTAGGGTTGTGTTCGAAACTTCAGGTACTGGCCACCTCATCACTTGATTCCATAAATTGACACATTGTGCTGGCACCAGCAGCTTACAGCCATACCACCCTGAGCACGCCTGACTTCGTCTGACCTCGGAAGCTACGCAGGGCTTGTCTTGGTTAGTACTTGGATGGGAGACTGCCTGGGAATACCAGGTGCTGTAAGCCTTTACTTTTCATGTCATTGAACTGCTTTTGATCCAGAGAAGGGGCGTATTGAAAGACTCAAAGCAGCTGCCCATTAATGAGGGCACATTAACGACGGCCTGTGGCTCTGGCTGAGGCCACCTACACCTCACCAGGGCCTGTGCTTCTGGCCGAGGTCATCTATACAACCCCAGGGCCTGATTTGCCGGCTAAGGTCACCTACACCAAACCAGGGCCTGTACTGCTGGCTGAGGCCAACTACACCACACCAGGCCCTGTGCTGGTGCATGAGGCCATCTTCACTACACCAGGGCCTGTGCTGGTGGTCGAGGCCTTCTTCACCACACCAGGGCCTGTGGCTCTGGCTGAGGCCATCTACACCACACCTGGGCCTTAGTTGCCGGCTTAGGCCACCTACACAACACCAGGGCCTGTGGCTCTGGCTGAGGCCATCTACATCACACCAGGGCCTGAGTTCCCAGCTGAGGCCACCTACACCACACCAGGGCCTGTATTTCTGTCCGAGGCCATCTACACAACCCTAGGGCCTGAGTTGCCGGCTGAGGTCACCTACACCACACCAGGGCCTGAGTTGCCGGCTGAGACCACCTACACCACACCAGGGCCTGTGGCTCTGGCTGAGGCCATCTACACCACACCAGGGCCTTAGTTGCTGGGTGAGGCATATTACACAACATCAGGGCCTGGTGCCCCTCAGGACACAGAAGCTGGAGGATGTTTGGTCATTTGTTCTGACACAAGCTGTTGGGGAATTCTATATAATTCTAATATTTTTAGCCAGTTTATGAAAGAGTTTCCAAAACCAAATTTGCGTAAAGTTTCAAATAAAAATTTCCAGTTAACTCTGTCAAACTCTTTTTCGGGATCTAGAGACAATATTGTAGTTTCAATGTTTTCACTTCATGAGTAGTCTATTAAATCAAGCAATCTACGTATATTTGTTGATGAGTGCCTGCCTTTTATGAAACCAGTCTGGTCAGTTAGAATTAAAAGGGGGGTTATCTTCTTTAATCTTTCTGAGAGAGCTTCGCAGATTATTTTGAGGTCTACATTAATAAGGGATTTTGGACGATAGCTTGAGGGAAATCAGGAGTCTTTGCCTGGTTTTAGCAGGAGACTAATATTGGTAGAATTCATATTTGGTGGTAGTCTGCCATTTTCCTTGATTTCCTGCAACATTCTGTGGAATACTGGTGCCAGAACTGTCCAGAATTCTTTGTAGAATTCTGCAGGAAAACTGTCTGGACCTGGAGCGTTATTATTGGGCATACTTATCAGGGCTTCTGGAGTTCCCCTGGTGTCAGTAGCAAATCCAGTGCCATTGCTTGACGGTCTAATAATTTTGGAAGAGTTACATTGCCAAGAAACTGGTCAATTTCATTTTTAGACGGGTTCATTTGTGGTGACTATAAAGTTTCATAGAAATCCCTAAAAATGTTGTTTATTCTTTCAGGTTCATATATTGTGTTCCCAGATAAATCTTTAACAGCACATATAGTTGTTTTTTCTTTCTTTATTTTTAACTGGTTAGCTAGAAATCAACCGGATTTGTTACTGTTCAAAGTTCTGCAAGCAGTCTTTGAACTAGGAAATGATTTTTTCTTTTTTATTAATAATTTCAATTCTAGTTTTGTCTTGCATATTTTGTTTGGTATTTCCTGATATTGTTTCCTGATATATTCCAATATACTGTTTGATTATATTTGTGGACTGACAATTACGCTGAGTTCCTGTTGTGTTGAGCCTTTTTTCATATTCTTAAATTCTTGTTTTAATAGTCTAAAGTTGTGGACTGTGCACACTGGCTGTATATTTTTGTGATGTAACCAAACCTTTTCTGTCCCTCTCAAAAGGCCCAAGGAATCACAAGAACAAAGACTTTTTTTCTTAGCTGCAGACTTCCTAATGTACAGCCTCAACAAGATATTTTGTGGACTGGAGAAGTATGAAGGTGATACAACTCAGCAGACTACACCTGATTAAACAGATTAATTTGTGCAAAAGAAGAATGCTTTTTAGCTTTAGCACCAAAAATGTGTCCTTTTTTCCCCCAATAGGCCTAGAGTGAGAAGTTTCCTAAAAATTCAAACCGCAATGTCCTGTCCTCGTGTTCCACATACATTTATATTCATATTTCAACTGGCTAATCCCATGAAACTCCACAAATTTAGCTTTCTTTTACTTTGCCATGTGGTGAGGGTCCTGTGACCAGGAGTCAAACTTTGGGATCAGGTATGCAGTCACAGGCAGCTTGCAGCCCCACCTACCAGATTGCCTGCTGTTGTGTTGACTGAAAACTGCAGCAGACAAAGAATGAAAAAGCATGGATTCCCTGGGCCAAAGGCCCGCACAGTGGGCTTTGCACTCCCTGACTGGCCTAGAGAGAAAGGAATGGCTCAGTCAGCAAGCAAAGGCCACTGAAGCGATGAAAAGATAATTCAACACCCCCACCCCCACCCCCCGCCACCCCCCCAGCTCCTGGACCTCATGCAGCGTCAAACCATTTGTGAGCAGTGACAGAGCCAGATTGGGCCGAAAGGATATGAGTGGGAAACTTCAAAACCTGCTCATATTTCTGTGGATGTGAAAGGATTTGTATAACACATTCAGTTTTGATGGACTTTCCCATGTTCAATCCAGACAACCCTTTTTGTTGACACGTTCAAATAATGAATCTGTTATGTGTATGGTCCCTTTTTCCCTCCTGCTCATGAGTTCTGTTTCTAGTTGTCAGGTAGGGATGCTGTGCAGACCACTCCATCGTCTGTCCCAGGCTTATGGAGAACCGCTCACTTGCTGGCTGCCAGGAACCAGGGTGAGTAGTTCTCCCTCTCACAGAACAACTGTTTGCTTTTGTAGGTGAGGGTTTTATTAACTACATAATCTGCTACAAACTAGTTTTAATTTAACAGTTTCCAGAGGACTTTCAATCATTGTAATTGTCACTGAGGCCTCATTTAAAACTGTATCAGTTTCTTATAACTTGCCAAAGCTGTGGGTGCTCAGTGAATGTATTTGGTAGGAATATAAAAAATGTTCAACTTAAGGGAAAACTGTAAATCTTCCCTCCTGCCATTAGTGCATGTAAAACAGATTTTACTTTCTGTCTTCCTACATGAGACGTTGTATTTTCTAAAGTGAAAAATGAATTTTAATTAAGTTTTATTTATATAGTGGCAATTCACAACAACAGTTGCCTCGGTGCACTTTATACTGTAAGGTAAAGACCCCACAATATAAAACAAATGGTGTTGATTGGATTATTCACATTACATTATTGATCTGTTTCAGGTGCTGAAATGGAACATATATTTGTCATTTTTTTAATGTTTAGTAAGGCCTTTTCAGTTGGAGCTCAATTCAATGGATACAACTGTGATGCAAATTTTCACAGCCGCTTCCCTGGTGAGGACTTAAAGACTTTTGTTTTGTGAATAACTGAATAGAAATTATGTTAACATTCTAAAAATGTGAAAAAAATTCTTTTGGACTACCTACATGTTCCAAAGATGAGGTGATAAGTTTTTTGGACACCAGTATTATGACATACAAAACTAAATGTTACAGACTGTAATCCCAGAAGCTAAATCTTTTTTTTTCTTTTTTTTTTTTGGGGGGGGGGGGGGAGAGAGAGAGAGAGAGCGAGAGAGAGAGAAATGTACTATTGTAAAATACACAATTTATGTACATATTTATGTACATTAGATTTTTTGGCTTCTTTTCCAGCTGAGAGAGATATCAGTGTATACTGTGGGGTCCAGACCATTACCCTCAAGATCAATTTTTGCCCTGTTCTCTTCTCTGGCTACACTGACACCGACCTAGCCCTTAATGGTCGCCATGGAGATGCCCACTGCAGAGGCTTTATCAATAACAACACCTTCCCCACTGTTGTAATCTTTAGCATCAGCCTGGCAACACTTGAGTCCTGTGGTAATTCTTTGGTGGTAAGAAAAACATTTTCTTTTTTGTATTAACTGCTCTTACTAAATTACACACACACACACACACACACACACACACACATATATA